TGGTTTATTTTTTATTCCCCTGAAACCCTTCAGATTTCTCAAAAAGTCCTCACCGAATAAACGCTAAAAGGACCCCTAGACATGGGTCCCTTCCACCTTGTTTACTTCCCCCACCCTCTGAGAGTTAGGCATAACTCTGCTTCTGAAACAGCCTCTGAAATCTCTCGTTTGTTGCTCACAGGATTAGATTAGATCCCTGCGCCTGTAAATGCACATTTCATTTGAATTAATTTTTTCCAATCGGGGTAACGGCGGACGGGTGCAGATTTCAAGGTTTCGGTCACTGCAATGTTCTCAAACGCTTTACAAATAATCCTCTAAGCGGAATTAATTGTTTTGGTAGTTTGGTTTTGGTTGGTTTTGTTTTTGTTTTTCTTGTGAGCTCTGGACTACCTTTCTTTGCCTCTGAGCTTTTCCGGGAAGTAAAATGTAGTGATAAAACGGTGCTCATAAGTTATAAGCGACCTGGGAGCACTACATGATTATGGCTTCTGCACTAAGCAGTATCTTGATGTGGTTCAAATTAGAGAAGATTTTGTTGGTTTGGAATCTGTTCTCACCATAATTTATCCACGATTATAATGGAGCGTGCTGTGCCAAGTTATTACTTAGTATGACGACGTATAAACACTTTTTAATTTCAATGTAATTTTACTGCCCAAGGAAAAAAATTAATCATAATAAGTTTAGCAATGCCATTGTAGACAAACATTTGATAGGAAGGCTGTTGTTAGAAAGCAGGGAGTGGCTGTTAGTCCTTTTACCTAGAAAGACTTAAATTTTTGAAGCAGTGCAGGGGAAAAACTAGCTCAGTGCATTCCTTCCCGATCCTAAATTTCGATATAAAGGGAATGCCTTTGATTTAAGGAAATGTAAATAAAGCGCATAGAAAGAACTTCTGTTACAGAGTACTATGCAGCGATTTGTTTAGTTGTCTGGCTTAAATTTAAAAAATACAGCGGTCATACTTCAGCTCACATTTTATGCTTCCTTTCCTCCTGCACTTATTTTCCTTCCAACTACTTTTTTCTCTCATCTCTTTTGGCAACTGCCATCTGAAAATATTCCACAACTCCCCACCAAACCTCATTCTCAAGACGAGGAAGCCAACAAAAGCAAAGCGGAAAAAAATAGTAAAACGATTCGAGGAAACAAAATAGAAGGCGAGGGTAAGTTAGGAATGACTTTGAGAGACCCGTCAAGTTTGCAGAACATCACCCTACTCACATCTGTGTAATATAATCACAACGGGTCCCACAGACCTGAAATTGCTGGGGACACTAGCAGGGCTTTTTATTTGTATGAAAGACAGCTGTTGCAGAATTTCACCCGCCGGTAAATAATTTTCAAACGAGATTTTCGCGGCACTGCAGGTTCCTCGCTCGACTGTGTCTCAGATACGCGGGGTGGACAAGGGCATAGGAAAATCCATCGGTTGTCCCCAGCGCTCTGAGGGTGAAGCTCTTCGGGTGATCTCCTGCCAGGCTGAGCCGGAGACACTGTCGTCCGTCATGACTGAACCTTTCAATTCCCCCTTTCTCCCAGTATTTCATTTCATACCATCCCTTCGAGAGATTAGGATACCCTCCCTGTTTGCAAGCTCAGAGCTTCGCCAGAGAAGGGTGAAGGTTTGGGGCAAGAGAAAGAGGAGCTGGCAACTCAATGCTAGGGATTAATCCATCTCTATCAGATAACAGGAAATGTCTCAGTATTTTGAGAATAATAAATGCACGGTATGTCCTTGGTGCAGATCAAGCTCTACTTTTGCCACGAATGCACCTAGCGTGGCTAGGCGGTAAATGCCACCTTTCAATGTCTCCCTGTTGGAGGGATAAGGGGGGAAAAAAAACCCTGAGACGCAAAGAGGGGGAAAAAAAGCACCCTCAAACCCATCAGCCTTTTGTTGAAACCAAGCCAGCGGCTGCAAGCCACAGTTATGCTCCCATAAAGTCGACATTTTAGGAGCTTTCGGGGAGGCGGCCGAGCGCTTGATGGCGGAGGGCGGGCGGGCGCCGTTTCGCGGGGTCACAGCGCCACCTGCCGCCGCCCGGACCGCCACCGCCGCGCCGCCGCCGCCGCCCGCCGCCCCGGCCCGGCCCGGCCCGGCGGAGCCAGCGCCGCTGCCCGCCAGCCCACGGCAAGATATATGTCCACCTCCCAGCCTGGATTTAAGCAGGGGAAGGCCAATAAAAGGTTGTTATTTCCGCTCTCCCGCTTTATCTAAAACAGCCAGACAAAACAAATGAAAAGGCTTTTGTAGAAAATCTTAATTGTGGCTGGACAGTTGTAAACTCATTAAGAGCCGAATTCCAGACAGTTTGCAGACCCGTCATTTATTACACACTCTTAATGCTGATTCTTTGAAGTTGCCTCTGTCTGCAACAACAGAGGGCGTCCCAGCATCCCCAAATACTGGCTCAGGGATCAATTAGAGGGTTTTTTTTTGTGTATGCACACCAGAACGAGATCCCTTTTGCTAATTAGAACTCATCAAATCTTACGTCGGGTTTCTTTCTTTGTTTCTTTTTTCTTTTTTTTTTTTTTTTTCCCCCAAGGTGAAGACGAAAGCTTTTTTTCCGTCCCGCAGTTCTGCACATCTGTAAACTTCTTACCGGCTCCCTGAGTTTTGTCTTTAGCCCTGCAGCGTTTTACACCCCATAAACGGTTACAGCAGTCATTTTCTTTTATTGCACTGTAGTATGGCTCTGAATTTTCCTAACAACAACTTCTACCAAGACCATAAGCATGTCCCGTCTTATTTTGCTTTAAATATATACATATATGTAAGGGTACCTCTTTAAAATAAGAAGGATTTTATTGTTATTCGGCATATTTGCAAATAAGGGTCAGTGTGGTGCAGAGCTGTACTGCGATTCATGTTATGGAGGATATCTGCTCTGAGCAGTAAGATGTCCGCCCAAAACATGGATAAATTTCAGCAAGCTCACAGACTACGCTATTTTCTTTTGTTGCTGAGCTTGGTTTGGCTTAGGGCGGCGGGGGAGGGGTAGGTGCAATGGGGAGGGGGGGTGTATGGAAGTCTTCGACTCAGAAGAAACCATCTTTCTGTTTAAAAAAAAAAAAAATCCTATTTCGTCTTCTCTACTCTAGACTGTTGCCAGCCCACCTATTTCCTTCGGCTAAATCAGCGAGCAAAATTGACACCATAAATTCTACCATAATTGTCAGTAAAATTTTATCTGTATCTATATCAATCTATAAATACATATATAATCTGAGGAGCTAGTAAAATGCAACGGGTTGGTTTTATTTGCCACGGGGCACTTAAAAGGGTAAAAAAAAAATCCCAAAAGTGAAGGCAAGGGAAGAAAAAAAGTGAATGACGTTTGAAATAACATATTTTGCATGGGCAATTATCTCTAGAAGGGAATTTAAAATGAACGCCCTTGTAAGGCGAGCTTTCTCAGTTTGTGGAAGCACACTTAGTGCTAGACATTTTCTCTTGGAGGCTAATTAACCGTCTCAGCTTAAATGTCGCTGTCTGAACTGATTTACATTATTGTCCTCACTAAAAAACGTCTCGGACATTCTAGTTTGGTCCTAATTCCACCGCTCCGCCGGAGAATTTATGAAATCGGCGTTAGATCAGTACCGTGTCCCGCTGCCATCAAAAAGCACCAGCTTACCAAAATCATATCCGGGAGGGAGGAAGAAATGCCTCCCCTCGGAGAAGCTGTGGCATTTAGGACCTGAATCTGCCCGTTTAGAACGAAAATAAGCCCGAATTTCCATCACCTGGGGGCTGTGTTTGTAGAACCGTAGGTTTGCCTCGGCTCAGAAATAATACCACTCCTCGCCTCCGCAGCTGCCCTAGCCCTGTCACATCTTCTGGAAGAACCCCTCCTTAATAATGCTAAAACATCACAAAATATAAAAGAATTAATATATTTTATTTGGCAAAAAGTTAAATATAATTTCAACACAACGATTTGGTCAGTAGGCCATGAGGTAACTATTTCAAAATAGACAGTGTACGTTCTTCATCAACATAAATTCCCAGATTTATTTTTTTTATCGATACAAATTTACAATAACCAAATGCAGGTTTTTATAATGTATAATTTATTATCAATAAAATTAACCTTCATTACAATAACCATCAAATCATTCGATTAAAATTCAAACGTAAACCATAGGTAGTTACCCTTGTCACATATACGTATAGCTCCGAAATCTGCTAACTGCTCACTGGTGCAAAAACAATATTTAAGCTAGTCTGTTTATTTACTTTTTTAATATATAGATTATATATACAACCGACAAAGACAGTACTATATATATATCAGCTGTGCATACTAAAATGACTTGTTTCATATTTTGAGAACCGTAATTCCCAGACATCTCGGACGAACCTTTTTTTTTTTTTTTTTTTTTTTTTTTTTTTTTTTTTTTTTGTGTTGGGATATATATAATATATATATTTTACAATCAAAGGTAAACTGTCTAATTATACAGAAAAGACTTAATACACTACAGAGCTATACTCTATGCAATTTTTATAATAAACAACCTGAGTTCAAATTGAATTCTAGCTTACACCATTACATCCGGTACAGCACCCAAGCACATAAATTGAGTCACAAACATAATTACCACAATAAAACACAGTGTTCAAGTATTAGAGCAGAGATCTCTCTGCCGCGCAAAGAGCGAATAAAATTAACTACGTAGACTAAATTATACAGTTCGTAAATAGTTGTGCATTATGAAAAGGTAGTTTTTTTCTTTTTTTTTTTCTTTCAATAAGTGAAGAAACAGGTAGATTTATACAAGCCAGTTGAATAGCCTTTTCGTGCTAATGCCCCCTTTTTCTTTCCTATTAGAAAATTAAAAGTCTTACTGTACCTCTCCTGGCAATCTGGCCTCTGTGACTATCATTGTACAATCATAATCAGAATTTGCCAAGGGAAAAAAAATGAGGCCTGGACCCAGACGCATTGCATGGCAGGGCTCGAGGGGAGGATTTCTTGGGTTTGTTTTTTTGTTTTGTTTTTAACTTTTTCTTTTTTTTTTTCTTTTACTTTATGCATTTTCAGTTTAACTCGTGTGGTTCCATCATTCGTCCTTCGCTCGATCTTTGTTGATTTTCTTCATTTTCATCCTCCTGTTCTGAAACCAGATTTTCACTTGTCTCTCAGTTAAATTGAGGAGTCTGGCCACCTCATATCTACGGTCCCTAGTGAGATACATATTGAATAGAAACTCCTTCTCCAATTCCAGCGTCTGATGCTTGGTGTAAGGACATCGCTTTTTCCTGGTGGACCTTGCGTGGAGCCAGTTTGCAGCTGGATTATCTACAACGAAAACAAGAGAAGTTCAGGCTGAGGGGGAGAGTGGGGGGGTTTGAGGGAGGGGGCTGGGAAGGTGATCCACGTAGAAACAGCCGATTAGGTGTCCCGGTGCTCGTGTTTAGGACATGGCTCTCCTTTCCCGAGGCACATAGGACTGTGAGGCACAATGGACTCCAAAATACAGACACATGGAGAGGTCACACGAAACCACATGCGGCAAAGCCCCGTTGCCTCCGCCCTCCCTTGCCTTTTTTATTGTTTCTGGAATACAATTTTAAAATGCTTTCTTCTCCTCTCTCTCTCTCTCTCCCACTCCCTCTCTCTTTCTCTCTCTCTCCCCCTCTTTGCTAGCTCCCTTCCTCCTTCCTGGCCTCCCCACACACACACCCTTTAAACTGCCAGCGCAGGGAGTGACCAGTCAGACCAATATGTCATCGAAATTGTTTCACTTTTTTATTTCTACCTTCTCCCGTGTCACCCCTGGCAAGACCCCGGAAGCTGGAGAGTCAGTCTACAACTGGCATAATTAAACCCTAGCCCTCTTAAAACCCTTATTCGCACGGCGTTAATCGCGATAGTAATCCCGAGGGGCTCTGCCACCAGTTTCGCAGCCCTGGGAGCATCCAGTCCGGGGTCTTCCCCAGAGGAGTCGAAGGGGGGAGGGGGAAAATCAAGTCAGCGGCGGGGGGTTTCTGCTCTCACACCATCAATAGCCGCTCCGGCCTGAGAGCCGTCTCAAAAAAGATCAGATTCACATTCAATGCTTTCTAGGCACCCTCTCGCCGGTGTCTGCCCACGCCTGGGAGCGCAGCGAGGCAGGGGGATGTGAGCACGTCCTGCGGAGTTTGCTGGGGTGGTTGGAGCAGGGGTGGGCCGCTATTGCGTTTTTTCTCTCTCTCTCTCTTTTTTTTTTTTTGTTTTGTTTTTAATGTTTGCTCAAGTTGCAGTTGTAGGATGGGTTTTTGTTTTCCTTTCAGTCTGTAAAGCCAGAGCCGTCCTAGATCCCGTTCGAGCCTGAGAAAGGCAGCGCTGGCTTTTGCAGATGGCAGACCGGGGCGAGCTGGCGCAGCGGCGTCGGCAGCGGCCGGTGCTCGGCCACGTAATTAGCCCCAGCGCCTCGATACCTCCCCGCGGCCAGCGCAGCGCCCTGAAGTCCATTACCCTCGCAGTCCCACTTACTTGGATCGATCTGCGGTTTCTCTCCGTTTGCCTCACTTTCTCCATTGCTTTCAGAGAATGCGACTTCGTGGCTTTGCTTATCCCTATCAACTGGAGGAGAACCACAAGCATAATCAGAGAGAGACAAAGTGTGAGTGTCAAACGTGGTACAGTCAGCCCTCCTGGCCGCCAACGGTTCAGGTTTAATGCCGTAATGCCTGCTGGTAGGTAACCCGGGGAAAGACAAGGAGCCCGGCACAGGCTCAAGCCACGAACGCATGTACCTGCCGTCGGGCGGTGCCACGGGCGCCTGGTGGTGCGCGTAGGGGTGGTAGACGGCGGGGGCGCCGGCGGGGTGCGCGGGGCTCCAGGGGGGGCCGAAGACGGGCGCCTTGGGCTGGAAGCTGCAGGGGGCCAGCTCGGGGTGCTCGGCCAGCGCCGCCGGCCGCGGCGGCGGCCCCAGCGGGGCGGGGGCGTAGCGGGGCGCCGCCAGCTCGTCCCCCTCCGGCACCAGGAAGGAGTCCACGTAGTAATTGCTGAGGGTCCCGGGAGCCGACATGGCGGGCGGGCGGGCGCGGCGGACCCGCCGCGGTTCGGGGCTGCGGGTTTCACGTAACAACTTGGTGCTGGCGGGGAAGTAGAGTCAGTAATAAGTTGGGGGCAGCGCGGGCGCCCATTGGCTGCGCCGGTCACGTGGCGGGGGAGCAGAACAATAAAGTATAAATCAGTCCGCGGGCTATTAATGGGTCAGTGTTTTCCAGCCATAATTTTTATAGCGAGGCCATATGTTTTTATGCAAAGGGATATTTGAGTTATACGGCGGGGTTTGTTTTAATTGCGGCCAACTGAGATTAAAAGATCAGATTCCGTATTACAGCCCCCTTCTTCCTTTCTCTCTCTCTCTCCCCTCTCTCTCTTTATTTTTTCGTTTAAGCGGACTATTTTATATCATAATTAATCATCCCATCAGTGGGTCGTGTTCCCCGTGAAAAAAAAAAATCCCACCACCCTTGTGATCGGAGACCTTCACATAAAATGATACAATAACTGAAGCAATAAAAAAAAGGCAAAATAACAGTTGCGGTATACTGTATTTAAATATACATTTATTATATTTCATAAGGAGTTATTGTTTCGGGAGCCACGGGGTTGTTATTAAGTCAGTAACTATGAGCGCGCTCATTTGCATCGCTGTGTTTCTCAGCAGTAAAAATTTACGAGTGCTTGGAAAGGTTAAATTATACTATTGTGTTTAGTTTGGGAACCCACTGTAAATAATACCGTTCCGTTCGGCTCAGAGCTGGCAGCGGAAAGTCAAATTCAACGTATCCCCTTTCCGAAACCGCGGCGCAGAGCCGGCCCTCCCCGCCCGGCCGGAGGAGGACAGGGGCAGGCGCTGGCTCGTTATTTAGGCTGGCCCACACCAAACTGCACTTCACCACCCCACCCCGCAGGGCATGTTGCGGCAGTGACCGAAACACCCTCCTCGTCCTCCCCGCCGCGCCTGCCCGCCCCTGCCCTTGGACCGGGGACCCCTCGCCAGGCCGGGGAAAGGAACCGGGGCTGGGCGGCGCGGCGGCGGCCGGAGCGGAGTCGCCGTCGGGACCGTGAGGGAAGGAGCGCGGGCAGAGCCGGGCGGCGGTATTTATCACGACGATTAATTCTTCAACTATGCAGGGAAGCAGCGGGGGGAAAGGGGAGAAAAAGCCCTGTCTCCCCGCTGCCGAAAGGCACCCTGCTTCTCCGGGCAGCTATCAAAGGGGCGTTCGCAGTCGGCCGTCCCGCATTCTGATGAATCAAATTTATGTGCAAATATAGTTATTTATTTGCTGGCACCTCCTATGACTGTAAGACATACGCTAGCGGCATCGGAAGCCAAGCGGAGGGTTACAATCCTCCGCAGAAGGAGGGGAGGGTTCGCGGGGGGAAAGCAAGAGGCGGCCAGATCCAAGTCCAGTGTTAGGAATTAAAGTCTTGGCTGAGCGCTTGGCAAACATGCCTGCGACTCCTTGGTTTCTTTCTGACGGACAACCACGCTGTTTATTCCCGTGGTTGGTGAAGGAGTGCGGTCACTAGGATGCAGGGGGCACAAAAAATATCCGCGAGAGGCTCAATTTGCTCAAAATATCTTTTATTGAAAATAGAGCCCACCAATTGGTAGGGACGACTGAGTAATAATTAAAATCGCGTGTAAATACTGTGCATGGGAAAGTGTGGTTCTAATTAGGTTTACATCGCTATGTGGGCTGTCTCTCTCCCCCTCTCTCTCTCTCCTCTCTTCTCTTTCTTTTTCTTTTTATGTCTTCTCAACAGTTTAGTCCGAAATCTTATGGAGGTCCTATTTTAACAATGCTCTCTTCCCTATTCAGAATTACAAAGGTCCATAATGAAACTATTATCCCCCATTAGAGTTCAAAAATTACGGAGCAGTTGCAGGATCTCAATAAACAAGGGGCCCGTTATTTTCTAACAATTTAAAAAATGCAAATAAAGCTCTCTCTACTTTTTTTTTCTCTCTCACTTTTTTTTTTTCCCCCACTATTGTATAGACACTCCGTAATAGAAAAAAATAATTGTATTTCTTTCCTGGAAAGACGGAACTCCACGTCATTTGTATTTATTATTAAGAGTCAGCTGTGGTGAAATGTGATTGTAGAACTTCCTTTTTCCATTCAGAAAAAATAATCTTAGCTGCAGGAGTCCTGGATGTTTATACTCGAATTTGGGTTCCCAAGTTCAGCAGCGGGTTTCATTTTTTTGGTTCCTCACCAAAACTAATAGCAAATGAATAACAATAACAGTAGCGTTTAAAAGAACGTGTCTGCATTTTTATTTCCCTGTAAAATTATGCATTTGTTCACTGCCAGCATCCAAGAGGCAGGACAGGGTGTACAGAAAGCAAGAGGCAAAATAGAGCAAATAATTAGACATATTTCACGCGGCCATAATAATGCTGATAATAACGCTGGGATATTCTCCTCTTTTTTGTGCGGTTTTAGATTCATTTTCAACCGAAGTACGGTTTTCACACGAGTTACAAAGGCGAGTGGGCTTCGTACAATTTGTGTTGCAAATGCCTTAAGATTTTGGTGACTTACACCTTCGGAGGCAAAAGACCCCAAGCAGGGCAGAAACAGACGTTCACATAAAATTGCTGTATGAAACCGCAGTTCTCAGGAACGAAGCACTGCTGGAGCCATCGTGTCTGAATAAAAATACTCCTTGCCCTCCATCCCGATACAACCGAATTAGTAGAACTCCCATTCCTCTAGCTCTGACCCCCGGCTGCAACAGGAAGGATCCCATCGGTTTTCAAGCGAGAGACATCTGCAGACTTTGCTTCATTAGACACGCACCACGGAGGCGCGGAGCCTACTCGGGCGCGGGGCAGGAATCTGCGGGCGTTGGCGACCTCTCCTGAACGGGAAGTTCAGGATCGCCTTTCCCCAGGCTTTCCTGCCACTGCAGAGCTCTCTGAACCAGTGGTGCTATGAATGCACGGAGGGGTTTTGGCACAGGGAAAAGAAAAAATGATTCAGAATTTAGGGGAAGCAGTCCAAAATCAGGATGAGGAGATTCAATTGGGAATCAAAAGGGCAGAGGCAACAAATGCCATACAGGCACGCACAATCATAGGCACTGTAAATACACTCCCCGAATGTACACAGCCCCAGCAGATAGCCCGTCAGAATCACAGTATATGCAGAGACAGACACAAGCACTTAAATTTGGCTGCAATGCAGAGCTCTGCTCCTGCCCCGGCCGGGAACATCTGCTTCTCTAGGGATCCGTCTAGCTAAAATCCGCTATCCAAACTCTTCCGAGCTCCCGCAGCCCAACTTGGACTTTTTGGAAAGTTTATAGGTTTCACCATTGTTATTTTTTCAAGGTAAACCTAATCACGACCCCTAAAAAATCAAATAGAAATAAATGCCCAAGGAGTGAATTTTCGGTGCTCTCCCACACCTTCCTTTCCGCCACGGAGGGTGCCTCGCTCCGCGGGCGCATTGGCGCTGGCTGCCGGCGGAGGGCCAGGCGGGAGCCCGCCCATGGCCCGCGGTCGCGCTGCGGACACAAAAGGCGGCGGTGGCGGCGGCGGCAGCGGGCCCGGAGAGGTCGCTGTTGCCCGTTCCGCCGCCGCGGAGAGACCGCATCGCAATCGTGATCGTAACCGAGGCCTTGCGGGCCGCGGGGCAGCCGGCGCCCCCGGGCAGCCCCGGCGGAGCGGGCCCGACGGGCGGCGGCACAGAGCCGGCGGAGCCCTGCCACAGGCCCCGGCAGGCACCAGCCATCCCACCCCGGGGGACGAGAGCCGCCGGCGAGGCAGGGCGCCCCCGCCACCAGTGGGTCCACACGACCGCCGGCGCTGTGCTCCGTGCCCTTGTTTCTGATGACGAGTGGAGCGCGGCCGGCAGATTTGATCTCTCCCCACCCCCTCCCCCAGGCACGCTTTCGGGTCTCTTGTTTTTTAATAAATCCAAGCTGAAAAATAAAAAAACGGCCTCCCGCTTCCCCCGACCCCCCGAGCTCGACCCATGCCGAGCGGAATGCAAAACGCACCTGACCTTGAATGCAGCCAACGAGATATATTAAAAACCCGCAAGCAGGCAGGGACTCGCTTAGGAGCTAGCTAACCTTGAAGAACTTGTCAAGCTTCCCCCCTCGGCTGCCGTGTTTATCTGAGGAATCAAAGGAGGCTCCGCTGCAGATGGGAAACAATGGCATTGGGACTTGACGCCTACAGTTCACTTCAGCGCTAAGATTTCTTCGGGCAGAAAGGACCCTCGCACCAAGCATACCTGGTGATGATATCAACTGAAGTAATTAAGGCAGTTTCGTGCTGTAGAGAGAAAGGTGGAGCCCCAACAACATGAAACTACCTAAACCACAGAGCAGTTCTCAGGCGCTAATTATTACTTTCCCCATTGCCGTGGTCCTTAACGCAAGGATCCCGCTACGAAAATAAAACCAGAAACGTGACTAAAACATCCCTCTCTCCCTCCTGCCCACCCCGCCGGCGCCCCTCCGCGCCCCCCGGCCAGCCTTGGGTGGGTTAATGAAAACAAGAATAAAATATAATAACAACCACCCACACACGCGCGCGCGGACAGCTTTCGCCTTTCCATGCAGATGCAACCGGGGGAAAAAAAAAAAAAAGGCCGTGCACGACAATGTTACATCATGAAAAGCTAACGGCTCCCAAGAAGCCTGGGTTCAAAGTCTGTTCCCCCCCTCCTCCCGGCATACATATACCCTTGCAAGGAAGCATTAGCTGTCGCTTTTCTTCCAGCCTTCTTTTTGCCTTCCCATTGTGCAAGACTTTGTGCAAGCTAAACATGCAGCAAGGAAGCGAGGATTAAAAAAAAAAAAAAAAAAAAAAAAAGGCAGCTGGGTGAAATAAGCTCTTCCACATGCAGCCAGGTAGGGAATAGCCTTGTTTGGAGGGGCCCACTGGCAGGGAGACGAGACCTGGGTCCCCCCCTCCACATGAGCTCACCTTTACGGTTTCTTCTCAGCCCTGAGATAAAGCTAGAATTTTGTCAGCCTCTTCTGGAGTTAAAGATCTCCGCACACTTGTAGGTGTTCGATTAAAAAA